CAACAAGTACGTTTCCCCCCCCCCCCCGCCCAAACATCAAGGTCTTCGTTGGGATGGTAGGCCTGCGGCCCCCTGCTATTTCTTTTTGAAGTTCAGGAAGTCACACACAGCTGCCCCATGATGCGGCTGACGCGGTACTAGCACTTGAATCACATTTGAGAAAGTACAGCCTCAAACTGTCCTTAAACATGTCTGCCGGGACTAGGCACAGCCTTAAGCATGGCTGACTCCTGCTATTTCGCAGGTTTCACGGCTTGGATGTGCAGATTTCTCGCCTAAGCCTCTTCGGGCTCTGACACATTCACTTGCGCACTGAATCCTTTTTCAATACGTAGTGCGTCTTTGGTATAGAGAAGTTCGTACTCTTCAGGGATATGTTTACAGTTAGGAGCCTTCTTGCACAATACCAGTGCTTACCGCTTTGTCCCTTCATGGGTCTTCTGAGTTTTTGGTTGCTGACTGTAAGGTTTCTTGGAGGTTCGTGTCGACTTCATGTTCTTCTGCCATGCGATGATCCGGCAACATGTATGATGCGTAGTACTTCAAGCTTTTGTCATGTATAGGTACGTGGGACTTTATGAGCTTCTTTCAGGCCACTCCATTCAATGTGCTGAACTCAGAACGGTCTAAGGGGTTTGTAAACATGTGCACATTGGTTTCGCCTCGCATGTGCTCATGGCTTTTCGCCTCCTACGCACAGATGGTTTGGCCTCGCATGCTTCCTGGAGCCCCTCCATGAGCCCCTCGAACCCTGCACAAACAGGGTTTGGAGCGGGACCTGTAAGGGCAAGCTCGTGCACATACTAACCCGCGACGAACCCAAACCGCGTGCACATACGAACCCCGACCACGTGCACATACGAACCCCTGCCCACTAACCCTAGACGTCATCACGGTTGGGCCGTGGTGCGCTGGACCCTGGACGTTGTTGCGGTGCGGGCCTGTCCCTTATCATGGCTGGCCATGGCAATGCTGCCGTGGTTTTCAACGCTTCTCCACACACCAGTTCCTGTACACCGAATCTGAATTCCTTCCGCATCTGCAAAGACAACCCAGGATCTCCCCGGTGGAAATATCTTGTGTGCCGTGCCACATATTCTTGGCAACCAGTATTGCATCGGAACCTAGTCAGCAAATCAGTGATACCAACAGGTGAGTAACTCTTCAACCTGATAAGACTGATAAGAATCTGGGAATCTCTCCTCCTATGTTGAGTGCCAAGTTCTTTCACCTAGTACCTTCCTGTGCAGTTGCCATTCAGCTTTCAGATGCATCGTGAGTTTGACCTTATTTCTCTTTTGTCAATCAGTCGCAATAAACTCATGTTCGCGTTTCGCTGCTTCAACAACTGCTTGATTGTCATGATATCTTCTCCTTGGTAATAATCTGGTAATCGGGGCCTAGGGACATCCTTCCTCTTTTTGTTCTCAATACATTCCGGGGCGCATGATGACATATCAGGATGACAGACGATACTTGTCTTCTCCCCTGCGATCCGTTCTCCAACGACGGACGCCCCTGAGACCGTAACCATGTCAGCTGGTACGCTCGTACGGAAGGTCAAGCCCTTTGACTTGAGTGTCTGTCCTATTGGGCGCGAAAGCCCTTTATAAACGGACCCCAAAGGGAGCGTGGGAGCAGCAGAGGAGGCGACACTCAGATGAGGCCGGGAGGAGGCCACTTAAAAAACAGAAAGGAAAGGAAAGAGGGAAAGGTGGAGATTCCCTTTTGCCAGGCCTCGTCCATCTGCGTTTTCATCTTCTCCAAAGACTCCTCCAGCTCTTTCACCTAAGGAAGAAACGGACGATCCCCCCTCTCCCTTTCTCCCTCTCTCATTCGCTCTCTCGTTGGGTTCCCATACGCGCATTTGCAGGCTCTTCCTGACGTGCACCAAAAGCGAGAAGCTTGGAGCTTTCAGGGAGGTCTGAGGACAAAGCTTCTCCGACTGCAGCTGCAACTGGACGGCTTCCAGCCTGTTCGGCGGATGGGCACCGAATTAGATCATTTTTCCCGCTGTCCCCCTCCCCCTCCCCACTCGCTCTGAGGCTCCCGCTCTTCGTTCCGCTTCCGCAAACTGGTCGCTTGCTCCTCGGCCACAACTGCTTAGGACGCAGCTGCTTAAAACAGAGGTCTGCCTGCCTGGGCTTTTTGGCTTTTGGCCATGAGCCTCAGTTCTGTGTGTTGCTTGAAAAATGCGGGGCTTGCCCCGAGGTCCCCAGGGTCCCAGCGCGCCGACCTGGCGCACAAAAGAGAGAAGACACGGCGAACGGCTCAGGCGTTCAACGCCAGTGCTCACGAGGATTCACAGAGTGAGCCGTGCTGCGCATGCTCTGTGCGCATGCTGCACGACCTGCGTCTCCTCAAAGTATGGCCCTCTTCGCTCAAGCCGCGGCATTGCTCTCGAAGATGTCCGAAATAGCACAAGACCCTCCTCCCCTTCCCGGCCGGGGGGTGCCTCCTTGGCCTCTTGCTTCATCTTCTTCATCTGCGTCTTCGCTGCATGCATCCTCAAGCGCTCCTCAGCTGCGTCTTCGCTCCGAGTCTTTGAGCTAAGTGGGTCCGGTCCTGCGCCACGTAGACCGCTTGGCGGAAGAGCTTGTACACCCGCTGCCTCAGGCCGAACTCAACGTTTGACCCTCGAGCTGAGCCTTTTCCTGGACTGAGCGGAAGGGCGTCTTCCAACGCTTCCAGTTCCGCTGGATGCGCGTGGCCGAAGCCACCTTCCGATACTCCTCGGCTTCCACAAAACCCTCATCCTCCGCTCACCTGAAGACGCCGCGAGGCGCCTTGGCATAGCGCCGTCCGCAGATGCCTCACGCAAAGACGCGGGGGAGCAAGGAAAAAGCCAGTTTCAGCGCACCCCTCTCTTGTACAAATCCGTTCCCCCGGCCTTTGTGCCAGGCCTGGATCTTTACAACCTGGAAGAGAAGAGATCTATGCACACTTTTTGGGCACTTTTGAGACATGGCCGTGGCCTTCCTCATCAAAGCTCTGTATCTTCTGCGTTCCTCGGCTTCTGGTATAGCTTTCATATGCGAAAAAGCCCTTCGCAATGGACCCATGTCCAAGATTCCACGAATTGGCGCCCAAGGCTTTGAAGCTTCACGGCCGCGCCCTCTTGCCTTTCACAAGTGTTCATAAGGCTTCTAGTCATGCATCATAAACCCTGTAATGAGTTGACGCATGGGGTCTTTCTGTCTTTCTGAGAGGCTAGGGAGGTCCCACCCTTCGTGCGAGAGTGCGCACCGGAGTGTACCGAGCTGACAAGGACATGGTGCAGCCCGAGTGGCTGGCCAGGAGACGGCGACTTTCCAAAAACAAAACAAACTGCACATACATCATCCGAACAGAGGGCCATGCATGTCATCTTCTCCCATGTCCCCAACTATCTGTACTCGGTGCAGGCTGGGCATCTTCAGCAAGTCAATACTCCAGACATACCCATGCATATATCAGCACTGCCCCTTGCAGTTCACGAACTACGGAAGCTCACAAACCAGACTTCCCACTCAAAAAACAGTGCAAAGCTCAAGCTTGAAAAGAGCCCCCCTGTCCCCACTCTCGAAATCATGCAACCATTGTCTAAGAGGTTTGGCAAAAACAAGGTCCACTGGACGCCAGTGAAAGGTCAAACGACTTCAGGAACGCATGCGGCTGTTACTGTGGTTTTGGCTCAAGAGTAGTTGTATTTATCACCAGGTTCATAATTTGACGAGATTAGGCTTGTAGCTTCAGTGAAAGTCAGCTTTGCGCCAACACGGGGTACGGACGATATCAAAAAACAAGTTCGAAAACGGATCGGACGATATCGGAAAACACCGGACAAACTCAGGAAATAAAATCGGAAAACGGAAAGCCGAAATCAAAAAACGGAGGCAGGAAAATCAGAAAACAGGGCTGGCAATATCAGAAAACATGACGGACCAGATCAGAAAACAGGGCGGTCGAACATCAGAAAACAGGACAAACGAATGGCAAAAAGAGCCACTGCGATGGCGTGACGGGCTAGCTGGCGTGCGAATCCCCATGTTGTTGGAAACCACACTTCTGTACAGAAGCGCCGCTCTGCATTGCTAGGTTTGTGGTCAAAACCGAGGGGTGAAAGGACCACGGCCTTCCTTCACCTCTCGGTTTGTGGCCAAAACAGACGGGTGAAAGGACTGTGGCCTTCCTTCACCTCTTGGTTCGTGGCCAAAACCGAAGGGATGAAATGGGATGAAAGGGACGCGGCCTTCTTTCACCTCTGGGTCTCTAGCCCAAACCGAGGGTGAAAGGGGTGCGGCCTTCCTTCACCTCTCGGTTTGTGGCCATAACAGAAGGGTGAAAGGAGCGTGGCCTTCCTTCACCTCCCGGTTTGTGGGTAAAACATATGGGTGAAAGGAGCGCGGCCTTCCTTCACCTCTCGGTTTGTGGCCAAAACAAAGGGGCGAAAGGACCGCGGCCTTCCTTCACCTCTCGGTTTGCAGCCAAAACCGAGGGGTGAAAGCAGCGCGGCCATCCTTCACTTCTCGGTTTGTGGCCAAAACAGAGGGGTGAAAAGACCGCGGCCTTCCTTCACCTCCCGGTTTATGGACAAAACCGAGGGGTGAAAGGAGCGCGGCTTCCTTCACCTCGCGATTCGTGGCTACAACAGAAGGCTAAGGGTGAAAGGAGGGTTTCCTTCCGTCACCTCTCGGTTTGTGGAAAACCGAGGGGTGAAGGGACCGTGGCCTTCCTTCACCTCTTGGTTCGTGGCCAAAACCGAAGGGATGAAAGGAACGCGGCCTTCCTTCACCTCCGGGTCTGTAGCCAAAACCGAGGGTGAAACGGGTGCGGCCTTCCTTCACCTCTCAGTTTGTAACCAAAACCGAGGGGTGAGAGGAGCGCGGCCTTCCTTCACCTCTCGATTTGTAGCCAAAACAGAGGGGTGAAAGAACAGCGGCCTTCCTTACGGAATCCGGACCTGCCGGAAAAGCTGGTTTGACAGGATATTTACGATACAAATCGAGGGTCGGTGGTTCACGGGGGGTTACCATATGTATATGTGCATATGTGTATGCGTCTTTATTCCTCTACCCCGGTCAGGTACTTGAAAGGTCAGCCGGCGACAAAAGCGGAGCGCAAAGCAAAAGCAGAAAACAAAAAGCAACGAGCAAAGAACAAAACCAGCAGAAAGCAAAAGCAAAAAACAAAAACCTCAAATAATTAGGATTCCTTGTCTCGAGCTGTCCTGTTTTCTGATTTTGTTTGGGTTGTTTTCTGATTATTGCTTTCCGATTTTGTTCTGTTTTCTGATTTCGTCTGCGCTGTTTTCTGATTCTGGCTGTGCGATTCTGTCCGGCTGTTTTCCGACATCGCCCTCCTTGGTTTCCGATCTTGCTTTCCTGATTTCGCCCGTTGCTTTCCGATATCCTTTTCAGTCCACCAACACGCCTGTTTGTCACTGTGAGTGCAAGGCTCGTACCAAGGCAGCTTCCAAGGGCCTGTGCAGGCACACGGAATGTGCCTCCAGACCTAGCTGAAAGCATTGTTTCAGCTGTCCGGGTGACATTTCTTCAAGTCACGGTGCTTGATGGAACGTGCAGACGGAGAGGTTATCGTCCGAGAACATTTTGTGGGAAGAGGACGTTATCACCGTTCGGGCATGGATGCTCTGCGACAACAGAACGCACCCAACAGAACAGAAACAAAAAGCGTCGGTGCAGTTGTCGTCAATCGTCTAACAACATCTTGTGGGAACAAGACGTTGTGACGGTTCGGACATGAATGCTCTGCAGCAACGCAACGCACGACAACAGACGTCATTAGCCTCCTCCCCTCAACGCCCCCCCCCACCCCAACAGAACAGAAGCAAAAAGCAAAAGCGCAGTTATCGTCTAACAACATTTTGTGGGAACACGACGTTTTCACGGTTCGGGCATGGATGCTCTGNNGGGGGGGGGGGGGATTGATGAGCCCTCGAGATCTTGCAAGACAAAGACCTCGTTCGGCGAGGTTTCATTCGGAGGTAACGAAGTGACGCCGGGGGCTTCCGCCCAGTTGATGAACCCTTTGACGTCTTAAAACCCCGTCGCCCTTCGGTTTGGCCCTGTGGGCCCTCTAAAGCACTGCTTCAGGATGAGATGGGCAATCCACCCCTATAGGCGGGGTCCCGCGGCAGAGGACGCAAAAGGAGACTCGTTGCGCGCGAAGCTCATGGATGCTGCGCACTGCGCGCCCCCTGCCGGAGGTTGTTCAAGCAGGACTGCAATCGCCCCGAGCTGCTGCAAGCCTTGAGTGCGCGCGCGCCCGGCCTCCACACCTCCATGCAAATTCAAGTCTTGAAGCAGCTGGTCCCTCCCGTCTCCTTCTCCCCCAAGTGTTGTGCGGTTGCCTTCCTGTCTCTGCCCGGTGGGTTATGGCCGCCCCGTACGCTTGGGGCCTTGGGTGCGGGCGGTGCTTGGTGCATCCCCTCATCCTGTTGATGTGCTTGTCTCCTGTTTCGTCTCTCTGTCATAATCAGCTTCCTAAAGCTTCCTCCTCCATCGGTTGTGTGTCGCAGCCCAAAGGTTGAAGTAGGACTCCTTCGACGTACGGGTCAGGGCCTGTGGCCTGGAACAGACCTTCCAGCGTTCCACGTTTTAGGCCAAGAGGAGCTCGATGGGAACGAGTTGGAATCGAAGCTCCCTCTCAAGCACGGCAGCTACAGCAAGAAACCAAAAGATGAGATAACAGCGGCTATGGATCTTGCTTGCTTGCTCGCTCTCTCGCTCTGTCTCAGTCTCTCTGTCTGGCTTTCCTCGAATTGTCAGGCTCACTTTCTGGGTTTGGGTCTGCTTGGGCTTACTA